GTTCTGGTATAGCATTTTTTAAAATTCCCCAGGAGAGTCTAATGAGCAGCCAAAGTTGCGAACTGATGCCCAGCCCTAAACCCAGAAGCAGCAAGAGAATATTCATTGCACCCTTGTTTCTAATAGAATAAAAACTGGAAATAACCCGAGAATGGATGAATAAACTGCAGTGTAATCCAATCATGGAATACTACACAGTAATGAAAATGAACTACAACTCCATGCAGCAACAGGGATAAATCTCAAAAATATAATTTTACAAACAAAAAGTGTTGGTGAGGATATAGAGGTAAGGGAACCCTTATGCACTGTTGATGGAAATGTAAATTGTTGCAGCCACTATGGAAAACAGTATGAAGGTTCTTCAAAAAATTAAAAATAGAACTACCATATGACCCAGCAATTTCCACTTCAAAGAAATCTAAGACACTAATTTAAAAAGATACATGCAGCCAATATCAACAGAGAAGGATGTGGTACATATATATATGTATGGAATATCATTCGGCTATAAAAAAGAATGAATTCTTGCCATTTGCTACAATATGGATGGACCTAGAGGTTATTATGCTAACTAAGTGAAATAAGTCAGACAGAGAAAGACAAATACCATGTAATTTCACTTGTAAATGGACTCTAAGAAACAAAATAAACAAAACAGAAACAAACGCATAGAAACGGAGAACAAACTGATGGTTGCAAATGGGGATTGGGGGAATGGGTGAAAAAGTGAGAGGGATTAATAAATACGAATTGCCAATTATAAAAATAGACATAAGGATTTACTTCATAGGGAATATTGTCAATAATATAACACAGTACAGCAGCATAGAGAATACAATAAATAAATTTGTAATAGCCATGTATGATGACAGATGGGTACTAGACTTATCGGAATGATCACTCTGCAAGGTATATAAATGTCTAATCACTATGTCATACACCTGAAACCAATGTCTTACTACATGTCAACTATAATTGAAAAATAGATTTTAAAAAAGAAAGAAAAAAGAAAGCACTAATGGAGGAATAGAAGAAAAGCCCCTTATAAAAATTCTCACAAAAGAGAAAAACATCACATCGTACACTTTATTTTTTTTCTTTTTTTTTGTTTTTTTTCCACTCTCCTTTATTCCATAAACACCTAGTTACGAGTTGCACAAGTCAAACATCGTACACTTTAAATGTTACAATTTTACTTGTCAATCACACCTCAATAAAGCTAAAAGAAAAACATAATGTTGAGCAAAAATATTGTCATAGACAAATGCATAGTCAGTTGGATTTTACATAATCTTCAAAAGCAGGCAAACTAAACCCGATATTGTTTAAGGACGTGTATGGAGATGGTAAAACTATAAAAAAAGCAAGGAAATGTTTAATACAAAATTCTGGAGGGTAGTTAGCTGGGGAGGAAGGGCTTCTAGAGTTCCTGGTCATGTTGTCTCTTAAGTGCAGAAAGATTTTTATTACTAGTTTTCAAACTCTACATAAACGATTTAAACACTTTGGGTATGAATGATATATTTAACAACAACAACAACAAAAAAACCCCACAAAATTTAAGTCACCTCCTCAAGGGAGCCTGCCCAGATTTCCCTAGCCAAAGTTGGACACTGCCTCCCTCACCCCCCCAACAACACTTCTTTTATCCCAGTACCCTATTCAGTTTTCTTCAAAACACTTAGTAGGGGCTCAATCGACTATTTCGTGGATGGTAATCATGAATTGATGACCGGCTCTACCTCCTCCTGAGTCACCCAGCCTCTTTGAGCCTCAGTTACCTCAACTGTAAAGGGTGGGGACTGTATGGAGATGCCAGGAAGGGTTAAGAGCCCAGAGGTCACCAGTGCTCAAAACACCATTGCCTGGGTGCCCGCCTTCCCGCTTTCCTTCGGGCATCCGGCACCTGCGCCCGAGGGCGGGGGGTGGCGGTGTAAGGCGTGGGAGGGGCCTTCTCGGATCTGGGCTGTCCCCTCCTTCTGATTGACTTGCCCCGCCGTCCCTCCTCCCGGTCCGTTCTAGGCCCTTCCTCCCTTCTGGAGGCGATGGAGACCGCGCGGTGGGAGGGGGCTTTGGGCGAGGCCCCGGGATCGCCGACCAGTTCCCGGAGTTGCTGCATCGGGCCGCCTTGTAGGAGAAGGAGAGACGACACTTTTGATACTGGTCCTCCCGGAAATGGGCGGCCTCTGCGGCGGGGCTGCAGCGAACCCACCAGCCCCCGGCCTCCCTCCGGTCCCTGGCGTCGGGGCCGCGGTCCTTCGGCGCTCTCTGCTGGTGGAGACGCTCCCTGCGACCGCCTCTGGGCTGTCGCGCGTCTGGGCACACATGCCTTTAATGGGGTTGCGAATTGTTACAACTGTGGGGGAGAAGTTTGGTAATATCTAATGTGACCAGGAAAGGCCTCTGAGAGGAAGAGAAATTTGAACAGAGGCTCGCATCTTTCACAGGTCTCTATCCCGCACTAAAAGTAAAAACGTTAACTAAAGAATGTGATTTACAATCAACCGACCAAAAAAGAAAGTCTCCCTCCATTTCAGATCACCATGCCCCTCCTCAAAGGTAACTATTTTTACCAGTGCCTTGTATGACCTTCCAGAGATGGTCTTTATAGAGACAAGGAGATAGGTAGTATGTGTATATTAGTACATAGATCCCTTAACTTACACAAATGGGAGCCTACACGCTAACCTGTACCTTGC